ATTAGATGAACTTTGGGAGTGAATGTTACGCGCTATTGACTGCCATTGATTCAGCAGTTAAACTGGACTTAAATGAAATCGTTTCTGTGCAACTCGAAGACTGGCCAGCTTCGACGCATCCGTTAGCCGCTCTCTTGGTAATTTTTCTCAAAAAACTCTAATTCCTTTTTATGTGTTCGAGATGAGTGAAGCATTAGCGAAAGCAACATACAATTGGATTGCTGCTTGACATTCTTTCCGATGTGACTGAACCATTTTCAAACGTTCACACAATAATTGAGTAATCAGATCAATTGATGTACCAGCAGTGCCTTCCGGATCAACTTGAACTTCAGTTAACTGTTTTGTGCTGTCCACTGAATCAGCCTTCATTTTCGGAGCCTCAAAATATTCTGGGTTATTCTCATCAGTGCGACCTCAGAAACAATTTAGGGCCAGCACATCTTAATTGCTCATTCCAAATGATTGATCACATTTCAAAATCCCAGATGTCTTTTGATTCCTAACAAGCAATCAAATCCAATACATCTTCCATTCCCACCTTCCAAGAATCATTTTTGGAAAATACTAAAGCTTTTTTGGAACCCTTCTTTCCATTAGTCTGCTGAACTTCGGCCGACTGTTGTAATTCAACCTTCACTTTCGGAACCTTAAAATGTTCCACGCTATTCTCAACAGCGCAACCGTCAGAAACAACTTAGAGCAATCATATCTGCATTTGCTTACACCGAATGATTATTCATGTTTTGATAATTACCAAGCAATCAAGCCCAGCAGATTTCTCAGTCACACCCTCGAAGTATTATAGAATGGCAAAAGTTCGATCTGACCTCTTCCAGTGATCTTTGATCCATCGGTGTTTTCTTCACACTTGCAGCAGCTTTTTGCTGTTTTTTTGCGGTGCATTCCTGACTTCCAGGTGTCGACTTCTGAGTGTTCCGAGACATCTTCGGATCATTTTTTGTTGATAGCTGAATGTTGGATGATTTCTGTTGATTCCCAGCAGGAGATTGTTGATTCTTTGAAGGTTCTTGTTGAGTTCCAACATTTTCACTGCCACATAAACGACGTATAATTTGCATCGCCAATGACGATGCTAAGACATTCTCGTCCAATTCTTTATCACTCATCTCCAATTGCTTTCTCGTTGCGTCGAAAAGATTCTGCCATTTCAAATCCTTCGGATCCATTTTCTCGGCACACTTTTGATGAAACCTCTATAGTTTTGCTTGTTTTGCAGTGGTAACCGAATGATTCATACAGATCAAGCTGACGAAGTTCGTTTACTTCAGAAATCATTGTGTTCACGCTTGTCTCTTCAAATTATGCCTGTTTGATGATTCCTTATAAGTGACCTTCTTTGTTAGATATACGAACTCCAAATTTCTGTGAGGAGCACGANCATGAACAGTTCCAAAAATCGTTCGTGCTCCTCGCAGAAATTTGGAGTTTGCATGCCTCACAAAGATGGTCACTCGTAAGGAATGAGCAAACAAGCATAATTTTAAGAGACAAGCGTGGATAAAAGCGGTAGAAACAATTTGATACTGAAATACTCTTTTCGTTTTGTGTTTACGAGGAGTGAAGATACTAGAAAAGCGAGAAATAATTGAGAATGACTTACAAGTTGAGCACGAATGACAGGTCGTAAGTCTCGAATAATTTTTTCAAGAGAAGCTCTTGACTCAGTTGGCCACTGCAAATCGCTTTGTGATGACATGACCATCAATTTCGAATTTATGAGTATTGTTCATAATATTAAACACATTCATTGCATCCTAATGGAGATTACATTCAACGTTCAAACATTCAATTAACAGAAGTTTTGAAGTCATTTTTATCATGGCAAATCCCCTTTCATATGGTCATAATCAGGAAAACAGACCTCAGCCTTTCTTGTCCTGTTCTTATTCGAAAGCGAAAACAATTCCACCAAAACGCTCAATATTACATGAGATGAATTTACCGTATCACCGTGAGCAGTAGACCCGAAGAACGTGAATAGATTAGATGCGTGGTCAATGCGTTGTACTTCTTCAGTGATCCACTGATTCATTGAAAGTGACTGCTTTTCACTGCAAATTTCATTTTGATACCTTTATCAAGTGTCCTTCAATTCAGCCCATTCAATGCGGTAGAAGTTGGTTGCGTAGATGCTATGGGCATTTTAAGCGAGTAATTAACCAATGAAAATATTGAGAACGTGTGATGAGGCTGAAAAGAATTTCACTTCGAATTCGACTGAACGCATTTCGAAGTCTATCAAATTTTGATAGCAACTGGAAACATGAAAAAATGAATCGGCGATTCGTGCCCATTCACCATTCACTGTCCATGAATATGCGATCATTTCATCTAAGGAACAGTGAATGTATTTTTCGAAGGCGTTTCATCTCAAAGAATGTTATTAGAGCAGTTCAAGACAACCAACTTTGAAATGCATTCTTTTTATATGCTCGTAACATAGTATATACAAAAAATGCAGTCTTCGACAAAATCCTGTATCCTATCGATCATCTGAACATCACAAGAGATCAATTAATCTCAACAGCTCATTTCATTTCTTATCTGGACATATGCGCCCAAATTTCAATCTTATCGAATCAGAACTCCGGTGGTTACTAAAAAACTAAAAATATGTCAAAAATAAACACCGCTTGGTAGAAGACAAAAATTTGGTCGGGCAGCACAACAGTTATGAATACCTCAAATTCTTGGTAGCGTTTGCCTCTTGACGATGTTTTTGGTAAAGAATCCTCCTCTCCATCAGATGCTTCATTATGAGGTCAACAGCAGTTTCGGAGTTTTCTTCACTGACCTTGTTTGAAACTTTCTTTTCATCAGTCTGTAAAACTTTGCATTCATCATATTATAACAAATACCCTCTTTGAGTTAAATGAACTGCTTTGAGATGCATTGGCTGAAATGTTAACAAACGAATACTTAAAATAAAACGACCGTAACTAACGGCTTTAGATCCACTGCCGTTATTTCCTGA